AAGCAATGATGCAGGTGAACACACGGGAAGATGCAGAGAAAAGAAAAAGAGATATTTGTCCCACTTATGCATTTCAAACAAAACTGGAAAAACCTTGAGAGCATCATCACAAATAAAATCTCTGCATAAATAATGCATACTAGGAAAGAATGTTTTCATGTACTTACCACATTGTGGAGACCACAAGCAGCACAGTCACAATACAGGGACTCATCTCCCATGTGGGGACAAAAAGCTTGTCCCCATGAGATTAACCATAAAATATAATGGTTAAACTTGTTTTTTCGTCAGGGTAATGGCTCTGAATAGACACGTGGTGGTTACTGGTCATGTAATTCCCCAGAGAATGAGGTAAATACAGTGTCCACTCATGTAATATAACCACCTTTGTGTGTGCTCATGTCTGAACAGAGACCTTGTGATCATCCAGCCTTGCTTCAATTCTGCAAATGCTTCCCATGTGTACCCTCAGCTAATGTTTTATCACACATTGTATTTCATACTCAGTCACATAAGTCACAGAAGTGAATGCAAAGGACAGAACTACCAGCATCATGCAGTTGTGAAGAACAACAAAATAACATTTTTATCATAGTGGAATTATTTTCTCGGACACACTCAAAACATTATTTTCCTCCGTCCAATTCCTCAAAGATAACAAAAGCAAAAAACCCCCAAAAACTCCCGAGCTGTCTGTGCCACTCTGGAAATATTGGGTAAGTTGGCACTTGTAACCATTTTCCTCTTCTTATCTCGCTGTCCGTCTTCCGTGTTCCTCTTCTTGCTGCCTCATGACCAGCACAAGCCTATGTCTGAAAGCCCCTCTATCTGAGTGACAGCAGTGGGCTTATTAATGTGTGTGTAGTCTATGTGAGTCCTTGCCTGGGTGGGTGTGTTTTCTGTGGTTCTGTACTTTGGAGTCAGATTGTGCGTGTATGTGTGTGTGTGTGTGTGTGTGTTTATGTGCACTGACAGCAGACTTTGAGCGGAACTGGACAGCCCGTCTGTTGCTGATAGGAGAGTTACTCCCCTGACAGTTCCTTGAGGAGGGGGTGCTGATAGAACAAGCCATTTGAGTGACCTTGATCCAACCAAAGAACCTGATGAAAAATAACTTCTTGGACTTGTGACAAACTTTCTGGTCTGTGTGATTCACAAGCATATGTAGACCAAATGCAGAACTGCTTATTAGTCATGCTGTATGCCTCCTTGAAAGACTGGTTCTCTGGCACACATGATTCACGTTTTGAAAGGTTCATATTAATTGATAGCAAAACCACAAGGACGTCACCCAAAACTCTGATGTTGCATCATGTCTAACAAACCACGCAGATGTTGGTTCTTCCTATTAACAATTAAAATAACACTGATGGCATCAGAGAGGCATGGTCTGCATGTAAATGATACTGACGCAATGTGCATGTTGCTACTTGATATGTGTGTGTCAGTGTGTTTGGCACTGGTTGGTTTCATTGAGAAAAACTACAAGACCTAAAGAGTATTAGAGAGCGCATGTGAGTCCTTGTATCTGTGTTTGGACACGTGTGCCTATTATTTTTTTTTCAACAAAAGACTGTTTAATACCTGTGTCACCCTGGGCACAGTGCAATTAAAATCCAATACTCTCCAGGAGTCCATAACATGCTGGGTTTACTGACAGCGAACTGAGCTCAAATAGCCAACAGAGAAGGGGCGAGGGGTGTTATTTGAAGAGCATAGCAACAAAATGATGGAAAATATGATCACAGGGGTTGCGTTGCCTGCAAATGTGAACATCTTTTAGATCCACTGACAGGCAGCTGCTGTGAAAACTGCTGTCAGTTCAGCTTCGCGGATATTCAAAAGATATACACACAGATGGAAATTCCTCGGAGGGGAATCATGCTGTTCTTTATCAGAAGCAATAAAACATGGATGGGATGATGAGGTGACACTTAAATAGACTTACATAAGCATTTATCTTTTAAGTTTAGGGTAGGTAATTGATAATGTTGCTGTAATGATGCCTATGAAGAGATGACGTCTGGGGGCCACGTGAAACGGTTTGGGTGTAATTAAAGATTAGAAAAATTACAGTTTCCCAATCATGTTAGTATTTTCCAATCATTAACTGTCATTAAAAATGTATTAAGATACGAGCACTCCACCTCACTTGAAACAAAACTGTATGTATAAATTAAAACACTTGAGTTGTGCGGTGAAACGAAACAAGAGCTCAACAACAGGCATTTTTAGGAAGCAAGACCCAACTAACTCAGCAACATGAGATAATGTCCGATGATGCTGTGTCTCTCTTATTTATAGGAAACACAGTTATGTCATTAAGATACATTTCACAACTTCAGCTGTTACAAATGGCACATCAGCAAGAACACTGACTGCATGACTGTGATCAGCCATATGATGACTGGTGACTCATCTGGTGAATTTCCTCGCTTCCACTGAAAGCAGCTCATTTATTCTCTGCAGTGATGTGGTCTTTGCCGCCTTCTCACTTTAATGCTAACGTTAACTTTTGGACCCAACATCCCCATGTGTTTGCAGAGTTAATTGCTCTTACTGAAGTGACCCTTTGATGAACTTTGGTATTTAACACTGGAGCAGGAGACCATATGTAACTCAGCTGCAACTAAACACAGTGAATGGGACAAAGTAAAAGTTTTTTTAAGGTGCTGGACAGCGAGCCATGTCACCATACAGTAAAAAAATGTATAGGTTCAGGAACCACTCATGGTGTAGAGTTCAAAGATCACAGAGTAAGAAAGTAATAGAATCAAATATAATATATGGTGCTGGTGAGAAGTTTAATCTCTCAGCACAGAAGCACAATGGCAATTGTCTTGGTTCAACCTTTGTTGTAAATGACAGCATTCAGTAAATGTTCATAATTTAGACACTGCTTCGATAAATGTGCTGAAGCTAGCTGCTTTTGTGATTGACATGTTGCTGTGAGAGGACGTTTGTGATCTGCAGTAGAGGAACCAAAAAGCATTGAGATTTGCCTGTCAGAAAACTGCATGTGTAAGTGTCTGTAGGTTAAAACTAAGCTAAATTTGAAGCTTTTTGTTTCTGTTCAACAGATTTCAGGGTGAACCAGGTCCTGCCAATGTGTCGAAATGTTATTTGACACCCACTCTGCACCATTACTACAAGCATTCTGTGAAATTCAACTCACATATTGGGGAAAGGGTTGTATTTAACACCACCAATTGCAGCCTTTATTAATATTTTGTATAACCTTGTTTAGCCTCTCCAATCATGGTTACATTGGGATGAGTAGAGCTGCCCCCAGAATGATGAATATTCTGATCATCATGTGGAGGCCCCTCAGTCAACTGAGATGATTCAAGTCAAGCAGGTTTTTTTTTTTTTTTCTTTTTCCGTCAGTCAGCACACATTGTACTTCTGGGGACGCTGCGGCTCCACATGTAGCTGCAGCCTGAGCGCTCCTCTCTTTCACGCTTCTCTGTGGTACAGGCAGCTGCACACCCAGACCCAGAGTGAGCTTGTGTGGAACAGAGGCAGCTGCCTGGAGAAGAGAGGCTCCGAGATAACTTCTGTTTTTGCTTAGAAGTGGTGATTTACTTATTTTTTTTAAATTCACAGTTCAAAGCAATGTCACACGATACAGTCTCTGGCTTTCGTTTGATATTCAGCGTCAGCAAAAAAATACTGTTTCACATTTCTGATCAGCCTTTAGCATATTAGCCCACCTTAGCTCACAGGGCTAACTTGACTTATTTACCATGTTACACGAGTGTTGCTGTCAACCTGAATGTCCAACACATTCTCACTCCGACCTCGTCACATATTGATGTTTGGTCATGGGATTTCCATGTCCACATATGACATGTGAGGTAACATGGGGTGCGCCGGTTGTTGACAGTCTGGGACGCCATGTCAAGTTGTGCCTGTTACATGAACTGTCTTCTTTCAGAATAAACTTCTGTTTTCACAAGAAATTTAACGTTAACATACAGTCTCTTTCAAAATAAACTAAGTTGCTACAACACCCCGAATTGATTCTTGTTTTTTCTTCAACAACAAACACACATGGTTGGGTTTAGGAAAAAAAGAACAGGGTTTGCCTCTAGAATCTTACGGGAGGCAAACACCGCTCTCTTGGGAGAAAGTTGGTGATTGTTGGATCCATCTGCCACCCCTTCCACTTTCTCTGTCGGGCTTTTGCCACCTTAACCTTTGTCCTTGTCCCGCTGCGTTTCCCCTTGATGCTGCCAAATGTCGTTGAACTATAACGGCAACCGGCCATTGCTTTCTGATGCCGCAAGTCACTGCCCAAGCACCGGATTTCGACGACTCCCTAGACCCTGTTCAAATTCTCAAACTCTATATGGAAAAAAATAATGTTTTGTCAAATATTCTTATTGAGCAGCCAAATCTGATTTACTGACATAATTCTCACAGCCTGGAAATGACAGCATGCAGCACAGTTGGACCTGACAGTCAAATAAATGCTTCAGTCCAGGGTTTAAATTGTTTGGTTTTGTGTGACAGGAGTGGTTCCCAAAGTGGGGTCTAGGGAGACTCAGGCAATCCCTCCCCTGAAACTAAGATCTTGCATTGTGTGGACATGGACATGACTGAGTACCTGATTATACTTCAAAATGCTGTTTCAGATACTATTTATTATTCTATATGTAAATGACTGGAGCCAGTAATTAAAGCAGTTGGTCACTATTAATTCAGCACAGTGATTCTCAGTGATTACAGCAGGGATTTTGCTGTATGGACCCTCTCACCATGAAGTGCTTTGGATCAAAAGATATTGGCAGTCCTGCGTGTAAGTACATGAGAATATACAAGTCATCACTTCATCACACTCTTCACCTGAACCTGCGCCCGGGAGCTATTTAGGGTGCCACTGGCAGCACGTGCCGCTGACAGGGTCACTTCTGAACGCCGCCCTGACGGAGGAGGAAACAGACAGGGAACTTCAGAGGGCTGCCTCACTGCCTCACTATATGTCATAGGCTGTATATGGGATCCCCCCCCCTGTGGATCACACACTTGACCAATTGCGCCGCGAGTCTGATGGGTCATTTGAATTCAGCGATCCTCTGTGGGTAGATGTGGTACAGTACAGTGGGTAGTTGGACTGAAGGATCTGTGCGTGAGTGTGCGCGCGTGTGTGTGTTTGCGTGAATGTGCACTCCTAGAATAGAAAGCCAAAGGAAGAAGAAGAAGAAGGAGAAGAGAGGCGGGATCGGTGTGTGCCTTGTTGAAATCCAGGGTGAAGCCAATAGATAGCCTGTAACAGATCGATCAGCACTTTGCGCTCCCTTTGTGGATTTGATGGATGTTTGATCAGTGGATGTGATGCCCATATATATCATCGACCGAAAATTTCCCGACACATCTGGTAAGTCGTTCACGCACCCCGAGCGCTTCTTATAACGCGGTGCCATTTGTGTGCGTCTCCATCTCTGTGTGTGTGAGTGTGTGTGTGTGTGTGTGTGTGTGTGTGTGCGTGCGCCGTTGAGTGCATTATTTTTTAATTTATTTATTTTTTTGCGTGTGCCGGCTGGGTGACACGGGGCAGCGTGCACCAGTTGATCATGCCACCCCCCTTGGAATTCCCGACGTGCAACAGGAGATGAGGATCTGGCACGCATTTAACTGCGTCTTGCTCACCGTGTGTGCTGCAGCTGAATATTTTTATCACAGGAGTTTTAACACCTAGTTGCATTTGCTCGTTGCAGAAAACACTTTGATCCACTGTCATAGCATTAAAGCTGGGTATCCTAACCTCACTTTGTGCTTGTAGTTCACTGTATACGAGTTGCAAGGGCGCTGGTGATGTTTTAAGTTTGGTGTTATATCCCTTTAAAAGTTATTTCCCCTATTTCATTCATTCAGCTACCAGATATAAACATCAGGAAAGCAATTTAAGAGGTGGACTTCATTTCAGCTACATCATAGCACCTTTGGGCATCAAGTCACCTCCTCCAAAAATGATTTTAAAGTGATTTTACTCTTCAGTGTGCAGCTACAGGCCCAGTGCTGAGAATCCTATCCCAGAGAAGGTGTTATTTTAAGTTAAAGTAGGCCACATTCCTGCACTTATTCAAACTCAATTAGGTACATGACATGTTCATGACTCTCATGGATGGAGGTTGTAAAAAAAAGTGACTTTGTGCAAGTAGTCTTGTGTATACCTGTGTGTGTGTGTGCAGACGCATGGGTGTTTTCAGGCGTCTCAGTGAATGATGGGTTTAATTTTGAGTGAGTTTGTGAGGTCTCGCAAGACATGGGGACTGTTTATGTTTCAGATATATCATGACGGACAAAAAAAGAGAGAGAGAGAGAGAGAGAGAGAGAGATTTAACACATACCATCCAAAACACACTCAAGAAAAAAAGAATGATGAAAAGTAAAACCAGTAACTGTGTCCTAAAACAGGAGCAGCCACACCAGCAGCAGAAATGACAGCCTACAAATAACTCACACGCATATTAGACCTTCCTCCCTCACAAAGAAAACATCCTTAAAGGCATTGGCGTCATGCATGTATCGTGCCAACAGTTAATCCACCCACAAGCAATGTTGGGAGGGAAGGAGAATTACCTGGATTTTATACATGCACAATACCTACTTCCTCTGGAGTCATGTAGAGAAACACAACAGTAAGCATTGTGTGTGAAGTAAGTGCATGAGACAGACATACAGTAAGTGCTCCTTAAGATCCATATCTAACACGCTTCAGCACAATGAGGGGAAATCACTTAAACATGATTTAGGGCCTCTCAGGGTCCAGAGTCCCTCCTTGTTTTTTCACTCTCGTGCTGCACATCGCACATTCCTTCACCCCATCTTTATGTCCCTTTTCCTTTTTAATACATTTCACTGGCGATTTTTTTTCTTGGCATGCACGGTGTCAGGATTAGAGCAAATGAATATAATAGATAGCCTCTTCAAACCTGACGTGCACACATGGTGTTATTGGAGCTGTGGGACTGCTGTCACGATGATGTGTTTGCTTGCACAAAGGGGAAAAAAAAAAAGTTGATGCAAAGTTTCTGCCCCCTCCTGCAGCCAGCCAGAGGGAGGTTGACAGGAAGCTCTTATTAACACATCAACTCATGTCATTTAACTGTCTCGTCCCCTGTTTTTAGGCCTTCAGTCACTCATTTTCGGCCCATGTTTTCAGTTGCCGTTGTGCCCATCGTAGAATCACATCCTTCAAACACAAACACTGCAAAAGGAAAGATATCCATTACATGCAGGGCCACGACTGTCCTGTAATAAATCTCATGACCCACGGTGAAGTCATGCATGCTGCAGTGCCGGTGTGGGAGCTGTGGTTAGTGTGTACAGTAATGGCCAATTACCAGCCTGGATAATGACAGTAACCGGGGGACTTTACTTTACGTTGGACTATTGTTTACTCATGAAGAAGAATGATGGGGGCTTTGATATTCACTAAGACTGCGGCTATGTGTGAGAGTGATGCATGTGGATGTTTCTGTGGCTGCACACTCATTCAAAGAGACTTTGTCCTTTGGTCGGGCGGCGCTCTCATCTCAGCTAGCACGCAGAGAGACCCACCCATCTGCACAGACGCCTCATGACACCAGCTTGTAAAAGTGTGTGTGAGAGCATGGCTGGGGAGGTGTGTGTGTATGTGTGTGCGTGCTCGTGTTTCATGATTTCATGAGTGTGTGTGTGCGTGCCTTTCGGTGAGGGATTAAGGATTAATTGCCTTCAGAGATAGACTTAACTGCTTGTTACATGAACTTTGTAAAGTTCTCACTTGGCCCCAGAGAAGAAAACAACACAGTGTAGTGAGGAGCAGAGGAAAGGTCCCTCTTGTTTTCTGTTCTTCTGAAGTGTGTGTTTCTTGATTTTTTCTTCTGTTTTTTTTTTTTTTTGGTCTGGAGTGTACTGCCACTAGAGGGTAAGAACTTCCATTGTTCTCACCTTTTGCTTGAGGACTGGTTAAAAAAAATATTGTTTGTCTTTTTTCTCATTTGCTTTCTTATCACTGCCAGGTGTCTTTCACTCCTTGTGTTTTCTTTCTTCAGCGTGTGTCCAAAAAGAGATTTCACAAAATTGTTCGCTTTATTAATGTCAAAATGTATATATTGTGACTGAAATTGTATGTTGCCAAAGTGACAAAATAATCAAGTACAAGCATTTGAGAGGCTGCAATCAGCAAGTGTTTAGCCTGATGACTTCAAAGATGAACCGATTACAAGGATTGGAATTTTAACTGATGCTGACATGATGAAATGCATGTGGTCATGACAAATTTGTTAGACCCTTTGAACAGATTTATTCCAATCAATGAATAAGGTAATACTTCAATTAATCCATGAAGTAATTAGTAAAATATCAGGAAATTTCGATAACATCTAACCATTACTAGTGTTGTCTGACCTTTAGTCCAAAATAATATAAAACCAGAGAAAAGTAGCACATTCTCATATTTAAAAAGCTGCACCCAGTAAACGTTTGCCATGTTTGCCTGCTAAGTGACGATTAATTGATAATATGAGGTGTTGCTGATTAATTTCCTGTCTTTGTCCTAATAGTTACTGATCTACCTTTGTGGTTCTCTGTCTTTCCTCAGGTGAGTTGATACAGCCGGCAGCTGAAGGAGGAGAGCTGAGAATGACAGAGACCAACCCCCCCAAGTCGGCTAAGAAGCCCCGTTGGACCTCCCTGGAGGTCGGCCTCATTACTATTGTCTCCTTGCTTTTCATCGTCATCGTCGCCCTCATCATCCTCTTTGCCACACAGAAGACTGGTGAGTGCTGAAGAACCCAGACAGCAAACAGAATGAGAGTGAGAAATGTATAAAAACCTGAGTGACTCACAGAAAAATTGAAAATTTGGTAAACCTTAATAAAAAATCAGAGTGATAAAAAAGTGCATTATGTAATTAAAAAGTTTTTTCGGGGAGCCATTCTTCTCAGAGGACATTTGGTGTTTTCGTTCTGGTAACCGTGATATTAATGGAGCTTTTAGGAACTTTTAAAGCTTGCCTCCATTAAACTGTGCTCATGCACTGACCGTCACTTCCAGCTGAGTTCTTCGTTAATGGCAAGCATGAAGGAGCACGCTAAAGAGCAGCATTTTGCTCAGGTGAACAGAAGACACTTGAGCTGTGTGGTTTTAAAGCATAGTGCAAAAGTACAACCACTGAGCCAGAAAGAAGAATGCAATGTGCAAAGGTCCTTTTTTTTTTGAGTTTCCTTTGCATTCTCAGGGATTTTTACACAACACTCTGTACCTCCAAACATTGTGCTATTTCACACTTCAGACTGTGAATTATGAAGAATTGTGTATCTTATATCTAGCTCTAAATGTCATCAGTTCACAGCATGAGAAATAGATCATTTAAAATGGACACAGTGAAATCGAACAGACACCGCCACCCCCCCCCGTCCTCACCATGGGAACCCAATCAAAACTGCTTCACTCAGATCAGTGTCACAATATGAGTGTGACATGGGTTTTTTAATCATTAATATCCTGACTTTGTTTGCTTTTTGTACTTGGATATCACATTTATTAAACTGATACTGACACAAAGTCCTTGTTACATAACATGCTGATTTATTAATCACAAGGAAGTCCAAGGATGATGGATCACTGCGATGTGGTACAAGCTATCTAAAAGTATGACATTAACATGGGTAATAAACAGCTTAACACATGAACTGATTAATTATTGACAAATGGAGCTTTAAAGTCCAGCAGGTCAAGAACACAAAAAAACCTAATGAAAAAATCTAATCTACTGCTGGTACATTTAAAAAAAACGGTTGTGTGTGTGTTTCGGGCTATTATTATCTTCTGCAATCTGCAGTGAGAATGTTTAATTACTTTGTCGATGTTTGTATCTATGTGGGCACTCAAGTGTGTGCACATCCTGCGCATTCACACATTACACGTGAAGCAGTGTATTTATGGTCAAATGACAGCTCACTGGTGTGTGTGCGCCAGTATATGTCAGACTGAATTTGATTAACAGTTTAGCACCAAAATTATTCCTGACAGAGTGAAAGCAACACTTCTAAATAGTTTAGGGTTATTGAGACAGCTATGGAAATAGATAAAGGAAAATAGGCGAAGGGGAAGGAGAGACTGAGCATTTGACATAATGACTGATGACTGAAAAAAAAAAAATCAGACTAAATAATGTTTTGTTTTGCATTTTCTTATAGATGAAATCTGCACCACAGCTGACTGCACGCAGTCAGGTAAGCATTGTTTGTTTGTTTGTGTGCTCTTTTATTATCTCATTCTGAACACTTTGATTTTTCTCAGAGGAGGACACAATGTGAAAAGTGAGACTGCTGCAGAAGCCCGGGGATTTCAGATATACTTAGAGAAAATGGCCACTTCAACTGTGAATATGTTGCCTCTAAGTCAAAACAATGATCAAACAAACAGAAACTGTCCTGATCAGCAGAAACATGCTGCAAAGAGTTATTGTTCTCAGATCACCCCTAAACAGCTGTACAAGAGAGGGTGAGAAACTGGTAATGGGTATGAGCATGTATTTACAGCTTAAACATATCCATCAGGATATATAGGCTATGCACAACATATTTCTGAGATGGACGTGTTTCAGCATATCCAGGTTTTGTTGTTCAGCTTTTGACTGTAAATGCTCATTGACTACATGCCTGCAGGAATGCTGCTAAGACATTTTGTACCACACAATCCCATTTACATATAGTCTCTTACTAACTCCTACTAACAGACATTCCAGCATAGACAGATGCCCTAACATTTTTTTTATTCATCTTTTATGCAAGTACACCCCCCAAAGCCCCTTAAATATAACATTATACATTATGATTTATCTTCTTACTTTTGTAAAAAATTGTTCATAAGAGAACAGTTTATTTTTCTTGAAAAACACTGCCATAGTAAATGAAAGATTTATAGCTCTTCCTCTACTTTCCAGTAACAGACTACCATTCATTTCCAATGCATTTTTGGGGAACCAATGTCCCAATTCAGTCAGATTTGACAGACAGCCTTGTCACAAGAGATCTCTCAGCTGCCTCATGTAATTTAATTGCAGCTCAAAAAAGTTCACACGTTTCCAGGACTGGTGCCGAACTTCACCTAATTAGTGCCATTACTGCTATTACTGTTTTATTTTAGCAGTGGAGGCATATTAAGTTTTTTTTCCTGCACTGGTCTATGTGTATTTTAATGAAGTTAATTATCTTTTTAAATGTGTTTTTCAGTACAGTATGCTATACCCTGCTGCCAGGCAAGCATGAAATGTTTTTGCAAGCATTTAAGGCTCAAGGTGGTCCATTATCTCAACTGGCCTTGCTAATAGTTAGATAAGAAGATCAATTCCACTCTTATATCAAAGGTTACCATATTGTAACCCTAGTTCTATTAGCATAGGTGGAGCCCTGGATTCTCTGGGTAATACTCTCCTCCAGTCATAAGCATACATTTGCCCACTGAAGGAATAAACGTGGCTTGCCAATCAGGACATTCCTGAATTGGTTGAAGACAACGCCCCTAGGTAGAGGGCTCAACCTGTGCTGAAAGAACTAAGATTTTCAGGTTTTAAGGTATTGTAACATTTGCTCTATCTCACACAGGCTCCACCCTCTACTGGACTCTTTGGGTACAACGGGTGGAGCCCAATGACTGAACTCCCTTTCACGACATAACACCCACCCAGCCACACTGATCCTACTTGCTAAAGCCTGCCTACATCTTTATAAATAGCTGGCCGTAGCCAACCCAGGTGGTGAGCAACTTTGGCCTTACCTTGCAGGGGTCAAAAGATAATTAAAAGGCACTCTGCAAACCGCATTTCCCAAGTCATCGAGGAGCACAGAAACATTTTAGTATATCATGCCCAGAGGGGAGTCAGGTGCAACACCATTTACACACATTCAACCCTTCTCACCAGTCCTGTGTCATTCCAGCAAACAAAGACCGTGAAAAAAGCCCAACATGTCCAAGAGATAGAACGGTATGAGCGGACAGGGTGCAGACCACAGTGCTGCTGTATGTATGTCCTCGACCCTCAACCCACTGAACAAGGCCGCCAACACTGTCAAACTGCATGTAGAGTGTCAGGGATAGGTACTACAAGACAGTTTCAAATAGATGTTTCAAATTAACAAATGTGGGAGATTGTTTCCTCTCTGTCCATGCAGCATCTCGCCTAATTGAAAACATGGATGCCAGCGTTGACCCTTGTGACAACTTCTACCAGTATGCCTGTGGAGGCTGGCTAAAAAAGAACATCATCCCTGAGACCAGCTCCAGATACAGCACCTTTGACATCTTACGAGACGAACTGGAGGTCATTCTCAAAGGTCAGACACCTACACACACATCCACACAAACAAAGATCTACAGTCTGAGAAACAGAAACAGATGGGGCTGGGGGACTCATTTGTCAAATATGTGGAGACCTGTAGTACCTGTTTTTATTAGAGTAATAATGCTGAATTTATCCATGATTAAAAGTTGTATTGCGACCGAGAATAGTAAGTCTTTTTCAGTACACTTGCTTTGTAAGAGGACAGAGAACAGCTTGATTCAGTTGCTTGAGAATACAAGCTAAAGAGGACTGTCCTTCAGGGACTGCAGCTCTATAGATATCACAGATGCCATGGGAGTTTGGCTTCTGTAATACCATGTGAGCAGAGTTTGTCAACAGAGGTGGCATTATCAGTGTGTGTATGTGTGTTTGGACATTGGTTTCAGGCTGTTTTCTAAGGATGTCAACACACAGTAGTGACAAAAAATCTTAATTGCAAGTTTGTATGTGCGTGCTTGTCTCAGGTGTTTTCCCAGCTTTTAGCAGGCATTGCAATCTTGTATCCTTGTAGCATGGTTGATACAGAAAGGGTCAAGTTACACTGCGGATGTGTGAGCGCTTGTGGATTTGTGTGCGTGTGTGTGGGTCCATACTTCACCTCATGTTGTCTGTAAGAAGGCCAGTCGAGTCCTGAGCAGTGGGTGCTAAATCTTCAAGGGGCACAAACTTTCCGTGGACAACCGAAACTCTTCATCTACCATAAATTTACAATTTATATGCCGGTTCCTTCCACTATAATAACGACAGAGCAGATTGGCTGCAGGAGAAACAGAGTGATTCAGAAGGGGGAGAAAGATTGATCCTCAGTGGAAAAGGAAAACCAGGGTTTAAAGTGCAGCCTGTCTTGTGGACTCAGATAATTTGCACCAGCCTCTGGCACTTTATCTGTCCAATCTTGATGGAAAAACACAGTCTCTTGTCTTGGGACGCCTTTTTTTCTTTTTCTATCTGCCCTTGTGATGACATGCAGGTTATTTTTCATAAAAATAAACCTGAATATGGGTGGTAATAGTTTTTTATTCAAACCAATTTAAAATAAGTTCCCTATGATTCAGAGGTTGTCTGCACACAGCTCTCAACATGAAGGTGGCTAAGCCGACAGCTAGCAGCTAACGGTGCCAACAGTGCTAACAGGAGTAACAGTGCTGACAGAGTGATTGGTTTTACCTGAAGGGACCTGGAGAGTGGGCACTACGCCTCCATGACAACGCTATCCCGATATCAGCGGTAACTACTGTATGAGCACAGTGCAAACGGCAGTGATAAGCTCACACTCAATAGGACTTAAGCCCTGTTTCTACCGAGCAGTACGGTACAGTTCAGTTCAGTTCGGTACACCTTTTTTTCCATTTCCACAGTGAAAAGTTGTGTATTGTACCACTGGCACTGTTCTATACCGTTCCCATTTTTGGTCCCCACTCTGTTGGGGTACCTAGCACACAGATCTGGTACTAAAAGGTGGAGCTGTGAACACTGCAGTCTGTTGATTGGTCAATAGTGGACGGTCACTCTGCTCAGGGCTGAGTTGGGGCTGTTTTGAGGCTCATGTTACCACTGTTCATACTGTGGAGAGTTTTATTAGTAGACTCTAACTATAAAAATAAAGGTGGTAACTTTTAAGGTGGAACGCTAACTTGTAATGTTACTCAGTGCATGAGCTGGTGACGTGAATCAATCAACACATCTTAAGTGTCACTGTGACAACTTTGAGTTTTTATATGATTGGATCTTCAAGCGTTTACATATATTAATATCAACCAGGGTAATGTGAACTGCATATATTCTAATCCTCACTCTGAGTTGCGGAGCATCGTTTCTGTGGCTCCAACAACACTAAACCCCTGAGCTTGCAAGAGAAGGACTAAATGCACAGACCTGCTATTTTTAAATACCCCATGGAGAGAGACTCTCACTACAGCCTGTTCTGTTTTGTTGAGAACAATTTGGGGTGCGACCCCGTTTTGTGGACGATAAATGAGGTGCAGACTTCCATCTGTGTCACCACTAATGAGGAAATACAATGAGTGCTACACGGAGCAGTGAGTGACAACAACCCTGCCCACATTTAAGGGTACTGTTTGCTGTGGAAACGCTAGGGTCTAGGTACCATGTCTGAAGGGTTACTTTTGGTTCCAAAGGTACCACACTGAAAGTGTTTGGTGAAAATGGGGCTTTACATACACTAATATGCACAGGCAGCTGAAAAGTCTATCACAACGAAGAACAGAGATGCTCAGATCACAACTGACAGAGTTAGCTAAATTTCATTCTCTGCTCAGAACACTATGACTCCGCTACATCTTTACATAGCATATAGTTGTTTGCCATTATAATAATGCTGTGAATATTGTATTGAGCTCCTTTAAATATGCATGACGTTTAGACTTTCACAATAATTGCTCGTAACGCATTGTTTGAAAGGACATTGAACCTATGAGAGGTCTTTAGCTGACAAAATGGTAACTTTTTTTCTTAAACCTTAGACATGACATTTGCTTCATGTACTGTCAGCTCTGGCTGTCCTCACTTTCCTTTTATTTTTTTGATTAAACACCCTTTTTCAGATCAATATAACTTTCATTAGGGCTCAGAGATTGCTTGTAATGTAGTCAGCATTCATTACTTTCTTTGCTCATAGTGGTAAAAGTGCATCTACATTCACACTGTGCAGTGTAATTATAAAACTGTGTTATTGAAATTCAAGCTCTTCTTCCTTCATAATGATTTTCTTGAACATTAGGCTCTGTTTGATTCAGAGATTTATACTTAAATTTCTGACAAACAAGACATGTTGATATGAAAAAAATGGATGCAGGCAACTGTAGGAATTGTCAGAAAAATGATGCATGTTAACTTCTTGTTGCATTCTACATTGCAAAGAACTTATGGCCCATCTGTTCTGTTCTGCTTTCTTCCTCTCTCTTCTCCATGGCTTAACCCATAAAAATCACACACAGGGGGGAAAAAGGAAAATAAACATTGCTAAACAAGGGCTCATGGACATTTTGTTACTGCTTACGTATATAGCGTGTCTGTGTGTAAGTGTGTGCCGTCACTTTACAATTTGCTGTATTTTTACTGCGGCTGAGCAGATTTATCAGAGATCTCACGGTGATATTTGCTGCCTGTCTGCAAGCAGAGATAGAAGAAAAATACACTTCTGCAACTGACGAAGAAATACTGGGCTAAAGTGCAAAGGTTGATGTTTTAGAATCGCTGGCTTAAGTGCTCTAAATGCTGCATTTATTGCATGAAGGAATGGAGCAGCCAAAGAAGTGGTCTTAATCATTCAACAGCTTTAATCCCCACCAACCGTCTGTTATGCTCATTCCTTCAGGGTGTCAGGCTTACCAGTCAGAGTTGGAATGCCTCCGACTGTACTGTATACACACATCTTCAGGTTTACTTTGTGTGTGCACGTCTGTGTGTTTTAGAGAGAGAAATAAAAGAATGCTATGTATTTAAGATGATAGTTGATAGTCCAAACCAAGGTATGTGTGCATTCTGCTTTGTCAAACATTTGCAGTAGGAGCTAAGACCTACCAGCACACAGAATTTATTTCCTAATGACTTACGGCTCAGCGGTGTAAGGCCTCAGCAGAGGTGTGACCTCCACTGTGGAGTTGACATCAAACATGTGACCTCTGATGTTGGGACTGGCTGCTGCCACCTGCTTGGATACCGCCGCCCGCTGATGGACAGATCCTTTTTTCCTGTCAACAGCTGCAGGGGCCTGGAAACACCTGGACACTGCAGCGCTCTAGGCTGCATGACAGCAATAAAACAGGCGATGTGCATGTGTATGTGTGTGAGAAGCTGTTTAGGTTTGTGGTTGCTTGTAAATACCTTGGATTGTTCTCTGCTGCTGTAAAAGGCCATAAATGATTCATAATGAGGATCTGTACTCTGATTGTGACCGCAGCTTTATGTGTACAGACATGTACGCGTCTGTGTTAGTTTCTTCCTCCACCTCCCCCTGCTCAGGTGCAGCATACTGTGCAATAATTTGCTCAATTGACCGTGAGCATTTTAATTACTAACTAGTTTGTGTCAGTAAGAGGAAAGGGGAGAGGTACAACACAACACAGAAAATGATGAAAGAAAGGCTTTTCATGCAAACTAAACAAAAAAGTGAGTGCTGAAGGGCAACAGGAGAGTGATACAGGAAACGATAGGTGAGATACACATGAACTGGGGGCTTTGAGCTGAACTGAGGAAGAGCTCTGTAGCCAGAGGACGATGGTATAATGAGAGGAGCTTTGAGGATAGGTCAGGAAATGTGAACCAGCATGTGGTACTCATCTCCAAGCTAAGCTCTAGCTCGAGCTGCGCACATCCATCTGTGCTTGAGCACGCGCGTGTGAGCACGCTGCTGCTCTCTGTATTACACAAGGTACTTCTTGCATGATTCCAGGTTTAAATCTTATTGTACTGAGACAATTCTTCGCAGAGACATAGGTCCATATTGAGTATTCAGCCTGTCTAAAGTCCTATAGATAAAGTGGGGGAATAGAAACACTAAGTTTCTTTTTTAGGATGTTTTTTTATTCATTTATATTTTTAAGAGGGACTTGGTTATTGACATAAATCACTAAGTCCCTTTGACAAGAAATGCAAAGTTAATAACAGTGACTTCATGCAGAGGCTGTGGTTTAGGGGCCCCCTGAGCCCTTGGGCCCCTACGCCTGGGCCCGGTAGGCCCGTTCAGTCTGTGAGATAGCTGTGACGTGTTGAGATGTGAGGTGTTTGACAGACATGCTGCTAACAGTCAGAGACTGCATGTCTGTATTTTTCTTGCGATAACAATAACTGAAACAGAACTTGTGTCAAACAATACCGACTGCAATGAGACTTTTGAGATAAACGATTTGTTCACATGACCTCCGTGATATCAAAAGTCCACTCAGAACCATTGCACAACACCATAAATACTGTGTTTCCCGTAAACATATCAAATAAAGATAGCAGACCAGAGGTTTGTGGCCAAGGAAA